AAAAAAAAAAAAAAAAGTTTTGACATGCCTAGCTCTGATAGAGTGTAGTTTATATATTAGACACTGAGAGATTAACAAGCAGCTAAATAATCATAGAATAGGACAGTTATAATGTACTGAAATAGAATGGCCAGTATCACCATTTTCCTGTGGGTGCGTCATCAAGTAAAGTGCCTAAACAGGCGTGTTTTAGTTTCTTTCCCTGTTGCTGTGATGAAATAATCTTTAAAAAGAGCCATTTAAAGGAGAGGAGTTGTTTACATTCACAGTTCAAGGTACAGTCCATCATGGTGGGAAGGAGAGATAGCAGGAACTTGAAGTGAACTGGTTCCATCGCATCCACTCTGGGAGAGCACAGAGAGGTGAATGCACGCTGCCGCCCAGTTCTCCCTCTCCAGTTACAGTTCAGGACCCCAGGCAGGGCTCGGTCCCATCATGGTGGGTGGGTATTCCCACCTCAGCTAATACAGTCAAGATAATCCCACCAGACACCCCTTTCCCAGGTAAATCTAGAGACTGTCAAATTGACCATCACCCTAGAGTAGCATATAGCAAGTGGATCCACCAGACTGGGGGGTGGGGTCACAATCCAGGCAGCATTGCACGAGAATTTATTCTTCTTCTAAGAACTGCATACTGTTTAAAATATGAATTACTTCTGGAATTTTTCCATTTAGTACTTTTGAATCATGGTTTCTTTGTTTTTTTTGTTTTTTTGTTTTTTTGTTTTTTTGTTTTGGGAAAATAAACTGTAGGTAAGAGGAACCTACTATATAGTTTTTTTGTTTTGTTTTTTTATAAAGATAAGTTCTATCACATGAATGAGCAAAGCCACAATGAAGAAATTTACTGTGTCTAATCTGCCTTGTACTTCAGAGTGTTTATGCCACCAGATCTGTATTTAGCATGAGCCCCTCCCATTTATACTCATTTCTGTATGTGTACTGAAGATTAGATTGCTACATACACTGTCTGTCATCAAGGAGACGTGACTGCAGCCCTGCCAGTGACCTGAGCATGTGCTTGGCCTGGGTTCTCGTCTTCAAACACAGTAAGCAAAGGCAGACAGGCCTGGTGAGATGGCCGGATGTGATCCCTCAGCCCACATAATGGTAGAAGAAGAGAACTGACTCCAGAGAGCTGTCCTCTGACCTCTGCACACACACACTACATACGCTACATACATGGTCAATAATAATCACGACAAGTAAAAAACCATTCACGCATGAAGTATTTTCAAACCTCTGTTTTGCACAACAGGATTAAACGGTGGTACACAAGAACTCTACCATTGAGCGATACCACCCCCCACCCCCACCCCCACACCTTTTCACTTTTTATTTTAGATAGGGTCTCACTAAGTTTCCTAGGCCAGTCTTAAGCTCACTTTGTAGCTCAGGCAGGCCTTGGAACTTTTTTCCTTCCTGCCTGAGCCTCCTGAGTAGCGTAAGATCATAGGACTGTGCAAATAGACCGGACATCTTCCAGTATTTCTTAGGCCATAGCTAACTCACTGCTGTGTCTGCTTTTTGTTTCTTCCATTGGTAGTTTTCTGTGGCCTTGACATAGTGTCTCAGTGTGTAGGCCAGGCTTAACCTTGAATTCACTATAAAGCCCAGGCTGGCCTGGAGCTCCCAGTAATCCTCCTGCCTTGGCATCCTTAGTGCTGGGATTATAGGTGAATACCACTGACCTGTGTCCTAAGAATTCTCCAGAACACACACATGATCCCTGCCTGATCCATTCCCAGCAAATACAGTGGAGGCCTGAAGATGCTGAGAACAGGCCAAGTCTAAACGGCAGCTGTGTTGTGTCTGGGGTACGAGTCTTATGCGAATGATGGAAAACTGGGCCAGGGTGGCTCCAGAGCTTGGAGGCTACACCCATTTTTATGTGTATGGGTGTTTTGCTTGTCTGCATGTATGTCTGTGTGCCTATGGAGTCCAGAAGAGGGTGCTGAATCCCCTGGGACTGGAGTTACGGATGGTTGTGAGCTGCCATGTGGGTGATAGCAATTGAAAGGGAGTCCTGGAAGAGCAGTCTGTGCTCTTAACCACTGGACCACCTTTCCAGTCCACAAATCCACTTAACACCATGTGTGGGAGCTGGGCATGGTAGTGACATACGCCTTTAATTCTAGCACTCAGTAGGCAGAAGCAGGTGGATCTCTGTGAGTTCAAACCTGGTCTACATAATGAGTTCCAGGACAGCCACAGCTATGTAAAGAGACCCTATTTCAAAAAAAAATAAACAAAGCCATCAGTGGATACCCATTGAAGGGTTCATCTCACTGTATCATGCTCAGTATACACAACTGACTTTGAGCTGTGGCCGTGGGTTTATCAGCATCCTGCAAGAGACTGACTTCGGATACATGGAGAACACATAGGGTATGTGAGTTACATGTCTGATGATACATTGTTTCCTCTTCTCTTTGTTCCAGGCTGTTGGAAGCAGATTAAATATCCCTTTGCTAGGCATCAGTCGACTGAATTTACCATCAGCTATGACAATGAGAAGGAGATGACACAAAAGCTGGATCTTATCACTAGTGACATGGCCGGTGAGTGTCATACCCCAGGGACAGTGCTCTTAGGAGGTTCTGCTTGTGCGAGACAGGAAACAGGACAGCGGGAAGGCTAAGATCCTTTATTATAGCAGAAGTGTGCTTTTTTTTTTTTTTTTCCTGTACTCTGCAGAATTTTAAGCTGACACTGAGATATTAGTCAGTAGTCCCTGGAGCTGAGTCGAGTACCCCTGCAGGGCACGGAATGACACAGAGGGTGAAGGTCCATAGCACGGCTAGTCTCTGGAAGCTCCTCATCTGTTTGCTACCCGGGTTTTTATTAAAGTAGGGGGAAAGAGGGTCAGAAAAGACTAATTGAATGATGAACTAATACATCTCCTGCCTTTGAGCAGAAGGAGCTACATTAAGGGACCTGTCAGTCACAATGGCTCAGTGTGTCTGAGAAAGCATCGCTATGTCCTCTCTTCCAGTTTTATTTCTTGACTGTTCGTCTTCTTCAGCTTGCCCCCGGAGTGACCTCAGACTGCTAGCATGTGGGTTCTGAGTGGGACTTCCACGGGCCCCCTCGCCGCCCGCGCCCTGCGGGGGCGCCCCCCCCCCCATCTCACAGAGGGTTTAACACAGCACAGACTAGCTACAGCTTCAAGTCCTGACTTGGTTGCTGATGGCTGTGTGAGTTGGGAGAAGTCACTTGGTTTCCCTCTGCTTTGTGTCCTGTTGTAACATGGAATGACAGTCCTACCTCATGTCTAAAAAGACTTGAATTATTTCATTATCCAGACACTCATCACTAAGCCCAGACCTATTGCTTAGCTCTTCCTTCCATTAACCCATCCCATGTCCTTAATTCTCTTGCCACATCAGACTGTCTTCATAATTGTTTCTTCTCCTCTGGATTAGTCAGGGTTCGCTAGAGTAACAGAACCTATAGAATGTGTGTGTGTGTGTGTGTGTGTGTGTGTGTGTGTGTGTGTGTGTGTGTGTAGGGAAAGGACTTACTAGAATGGCTTACAGACTGGGGTCCAGCTAGTCCAACAATGTCTGTCAACCCCTGGAAAGTCCAAGAACCCAGTAGTTGTCCAGTCCATGAGGGTCTTCAGCTGGCCTCCAGTACAACCGGAATCCTGAAGAAGTAGGCTCTAATGCCCTGGAAGGGATGGACTGGCTAGTGAGAGCAGGCAGTCAAAGAGAAAGCCAAGTTTCCTTCTTCTGTGTCCTTTATCGAGGCTGCCAGGCAGAAGGTGTGGACCAGATTAAAGGTGGATCTTTCCACCTCAAAGATCCAGATTAGAAGTGGGTCTTCCCACACCAAACGATTTAATTTCATTAAGAAAGAAAACCCCTCACAGGTGTGCCCAGCCGTTTGGGCTTTATTTTATTAATTCCAGATGTAGTCAGATTGGCACAAAGAGTTGGTCACGTTGGTCATCGCACCCTCTTCTTTGTGTTACGTCCACGTCCAAATTTTACAAAGGCCACTTTGGAAGTCACTCCTAGCTGGGCCCAATGGCCGACACCTGTAATCCCAGCACCTGGAAGGTATCCAAGGAGGAGCCTGAGTTCAAGGTTGTCCTCCACCAATGTAACAAATTAAAAAGCCAGCCTGGACTGCATGAGACCCCACCTCAAATAAATAACTAAAAGTCACTCCTAAACTGGGCATGAAGTTGCACACCTGTAATTCCAGCACACCAGAGGCTGAGGCAAGAGGATCACAGATTCACGTCTAGTTGGGGTTACACAACAAGACCCCGGCTATAAATACATAAGTAAATGCCTCTCCTTTACAAAACATTTTCCCCCTAACTGAATGGCTCCTGTCTCCAAGGTTCGGTGGCCCTTTGCGGCTTCCTGAAGCAGGCGATATGGTCGTTTAAGCCCCAGCTGCAACATCTGACTTGCGTTTCCTCTCTCTGGTGCAGCCTGAGACTCTTTAGTCACCCGGCGGAGAGTTGAGTGGACGGAAAGTCAACTCTGCGACCCGCCGACCCGCCCTCGTGTTGGCCGGTGCGCTAATGATGCTTGTCTGGTTTCAGATTATCAGCAGCCTCTCATGATCGGCACTGGAACAGTCACGAGGAAGGGCTCCACCTTCCGGCCCATGGACACAGACACTGAGGAGGCCAAGGTGAACGCTGAGGCCAGCGGCCACTACGACTGTCCTCACCGCCTGGGCCGCCACGAGTACGCGTTGCCCTTGACGCACGCGGAGCCGGAGTACGCCACGCCCATCGTGGAGCGGCACCTGTTACGAGCCCACACCTTCTCCACGCAGGACGGTTACCGAGTCCCCGGGCCCAGGCCCACTCACAAACACTCCCTCTCCTCCGGAGGGTATCCCCCTGCCGCAGGGGCCACCCGGAGCGAAGGCTACCAGAGGCCAGCCAGCCCCAAGCCTGCGGGTGGTGGTGGCTACGACAAGCCCGCGGCCGGCAGCATCGTGGACAGCAGAGACCCCTCCCCGCAGGTGCAGGTGACTCCTGGGGTGGACGATGGTTATTCAGCACCCAGAAACGGCCTCGCACCCCTCCACCAGATGGCCGTGACCGCTCTTTTGTGAACCCAATGTGAAAGAAACCTGCTGTGGTACTGAGCGTGCTCTGCTGCGAGTCACCGGAAGGAGTGTGTGTGTGCGCACGTGTGTGACTCTTCGGGATCCTAGACAACCTCACTCACTGTTTACAGAACTGTGCAGCTGGTTTCCTTCCCGCCCCTTCCAGCAGACCCGGCTGGCTTCTGTTGCGCTGGACTGAGGAGACTTTCCTCACTTCTCCCACTGTGATGCTGTGCTGTAAAATGTGCAATTTGTACGGTCGTACTTAACGTGAATGAAAGGAAGGGAGTTTGTGGTGGTTTTCTACCCCGGGGTTATAAGGAGAAAACTCGGGATTTGCAGAGACGTGGTAGTTAGTACGTGTTCATGTTTCTCAGTGTGTTTGATGATCTGACACTGTTAGCAGCAGGTCTGTTTAAAAAAAAAAAAAACCCTGTCTGGTTGTGGTGGCTCATTTCCTCTTTGATAAACTAAAAGCATTTTTTGACATTCCTTCTCCTGGAAGAAATGAAATTACTTGAAATAGGAAAAGCACACGGGGGGGGGGGGGGGGGGGTAGGTGATTGTTCACTTTCATGGCCGTAGATTTATGCAAGCAAGCACACCCCCTCAGCAGCTTCTGCCTGCTTCCTTCGGCTCTTCTTGAGAGTGAGGGCAGCCCAGGGTCCTGGGGCCTGTGTGGGACCCAGCTGTACCCTGAGGGACCTCATTCTCTAAGGAAAGGGCCTGGTCTTACTGCACAGTGTTCCTAAGCAAATCGGCCTTTCCAGGGTGCTGAGACTCAACTTGTAATGAAGGTAGCTGAAACCGCTGTGGCTCGGGGGACTGTCAGGTATTTCTAGACCCCAGATTTGAAATGTAGCTGAGCTCAGAAGGCCTGCTTCTCACAACTTTCTCCAGAAATAGTGCACGTCGGCGACTTCCATTATCCCTGGAAAACAAATGTTATTTGAAATGTGTTCTCCCTCGTGTCTAAGTAGAGATTTCCAGTGGCGGGCTGGCAGTTGAACTGGTGGTGTAACAAAGCTGTTTTCTCCTAAATATGTGATTATACTCATAGAGTTGCACAGGTCTCGGCTGTACCTCATGTTCAGTGGTGTTCTCCCTGAGTTGGCTTTGTGAATTAACGGGGGGATTTAACCTCTTTGGCCAAAGAGGAGTAAGTATGTGTCTTGTTTGTTAATAGAAAATATGGCTCTCCCCCCCCCAAAAAAAACCCCAATCCTTTCCTTAAAAACTATTGTAACCCTATTTGTATGATTGTCATTTTCTATGAATTATACTGTGCTAAAATAGGGTGCTGAAGGGTCATGGCAGACTATCTGGTTATAGTGGAGGATAAACCATTTGCTTTATGGAGTTTACATGATTTTGTGTGTATACTAATTGTAATAAACTATGCCAAATCAGACAGCCCCTGAACTCTCGTTGGACCCCTGCTTGCTGGGCTGGTGAGAGGTTCACCCTGTAACTGGATTCCCACAATTCGGTTTGCAACTTTTTTTTTTTTAGATTGAGACTCTAATATAGCCCAGGATGGCTATCAACTCTCCATGTAGCCTTGGATGACCTTGGATTTCTGATCCTCCTGCCTTTGCCTCTCAAGTGCTGGAATTAGAGATGTGCACCTTCACATCTGGCTTTTTTTTATTTTATTTTTTGAGACAGGGTTTCTCTGTAGTTTTGGTGCCTGTCCTGGATCTCGCTCTGTAGACCAGGCTGGCCTCGAACTTACAGAGGTCCGCCTGGCTCTGCCTCCCGAGTGCTGGGATTAAAGGCGTGAGCCACCACTGCCCTGCTCACATCTGGTTTTACTTTCTGTCTTCTGAGAGGCTTTAGTCACACTGTCAAGTTAAATAATTCCAATTAGAGCATCTAATTCTCGGTGCCCAGTCTCCTGGGTAGTGGTTGCTTTTCCTGAGGATTTGTGGAAGCAGTGATTTAGACTGTGCCAGGGACAACTCAGGATGTCAAGGAGCCAAAGCTTCTGCCTCCCAGTCACACTAACGCTGCCACTTTAGAACATGCCTTCCATGAAGAGACGCGAGCATAGATAGATAATTTTCTTACACCAAGAAGGAAGCATCAGGGCATAATCACAATCAAATCAAAGCAAAACCAAACTCCGACACTAAAACATCGAGGGTTTAGTTTCTGGGTCTCACAATCCGCTGGGTTCCTCAGAACCTGCATCACGTCTCCACCTCTGCCCGCTGCGATAGACACAGCTTATCTTCTAGTCTCAGGCCATGCTGATGCCCTCAATGGTCTTCGCATGGCACTGGCATCCTCAAAATATTAGCGCTCTGCTGCAACTGTGCTGAACTTTCACTGATGTCCTGTGCTCTCTTCAGGGACTCTGGTCATGCCACATGAAGCCAAGCCTCAACTTTCCCTATGACCCCTTCAAACCTAGGGCTTCTACTGCAACTAAGGTTTTACCTTCACTAAAGGTGTCTCCTGACCTTACAAAGTGCCAAGCCTCAGTTGTCCTCCATGACCTTCATCATGTCATCACCTGGGATACTCTTACACATTTCCAAGTTTGGCTGCCAGGATGAGGTACAACCTTGGCTCTCTCTCTGTACAACTGCTTCTTTGTGCTGACCCTGGAGAAACACTCCCCAGAAGATTTCACCTCAGCGATGATGATCTTTTCTTAATCACCACTGACATTTCCGCTCCAGGGGACCAGAATCAATGGTCCCAGAAGCAAAGGTTTCACTTTACTCTCCTGTTAATCAAAACCAATTCTTGGGCTCCAGCTGACCCGGGCCACAAATTCTTCATTGAGAATATCACATCAACAGCTCAGACAGAGTCTTTACTTCCCTCTGAAATTTCACAAGCCAGACTTCCTTTGTCTGTATCACTCTCAACGTTCCTATCTTCCAAGCTCCCACAGAATTCCAAGCTCCCACGGAACAGTCCACGGAGCTCTGAACACTCAATAGCTTTTCTAGGCCAAAGTTCCAACTCCTTCCACAGTCCTTCTGAAAACAACAACATGGCCAGATCTGTCACAGCAATAGTCCACTCTCTAGCGCCAATTTCTGTCTTAGTTAGGGTTTCGATTGCTGTGATTTAAAAGAACACTGTGAACAAAAGCATTCGGGGGAAGGAAGGCGTTACTCTGGCCTACAGTTGCAGTCCATCAGGAAGGAGTCAGGGCAGAAACCTGAGGCACGAACTAAAGCCTGGACCACGAAAGAATGCTGCTTACTGGCTTGCTCCCCTTGGCTTGCTCAATCTGCTTTCTTACACAACCCAGAACAACCTGCCCAGGGATGGCATCTCCCACAGTAGGCTGGGCCCTCCCACATCAATCATTAATCAAGAAAATGCTCCCACAAGCCAATCTAATCTAACCAATTCTTCAGTTGAGGTTCCTTCTTCCTAGTGACTCTAATGTATGTCAAGTTAACAATAACTAACCAGCACCCCTCATTTATGTGCTCACTAGTGACCATGTTTCCCCTCTACCAAATGTAGGTTCAACAAGAGTAGGGGTCATTGCTTTGATCGCTGAGGAATTGTGATCATTACCTGGCACACGGTGAAGGGCTCAAAGGCTAAATGGAATACCAAAGGAATCCATTTCTTTCACTGCTTTAAAATAAAAACAAATGAAACCAAAACTTCGAAATAACATCCTTACTTCACAAGTGACATGTGTTTGCCTACCTCCATAAGGATGAGTCCTATAACTTGGACTTGGTGGGGAATAAAGATGCAGCTGGGCTGTGAAGATCCAAACCACTCGAAAAACATACTCAGTGAATGGATGCAGGGGCTCCACCACATAGGAGAGCTTGGACACAGTCTAGATCCAGGAGAGAGCAAAAGTCAGCATTCGTCCAATCACCATGACCCACTGAGACACAGGGTTCAGATTAATATGGGTTTGCCTTTGGAGACGGGGCTGCCCAGATCCTACTGCATGTGCAGTAAACCAGGAGCTGAGCTTCCAGACACCAGGCTGCATTAGTCACACCACTCTCTCCTTTACAGAAAGCTAAGGATTCAGTTACTTGGCACTTACTTCAAGGATTTGCTTGAATTTTCCCATGTCACTATACTTGGTACACTAGGCTATTTTTTTTTTCTGAACTTGCTCATGCTTTCCTAAAAGGCACCATCCTGAATGGCTACTATAACCTGCTCTTTAATTTAGAGAAAGCCCCTTCAAGAATCTCCCTCATGCCCTTCACCCTAGTTGAAATCACTTTAGAGGATGGTGCAGATAAAGAACATAAATGGTTCTATAATGCAGTGCTGACAGAATTATGTATGTAACATGTATACTTTTTCTTCATAAAGGGTTTCCAGCGTAGCAGAGAATAAGGTTCACTTAATCCAGCCACTGTGCTCTATCATTGCTAGAATGCATTAATGTCAACAAGTCATTTTCTCTATCCACAGGAGATATTCCCCAAACACCCAGTGGAAGCTTGAAACTCCAGCTGGTACCAAACCCTACATATAAGCACCATAATACCAATCCTGTGACAGTCAACTCAATAGCGTTAATAGAGGCTGTCTAATAGATCATTGGTGTAGACCATGTGGATACACTAAACTGAAGGATGATTGACTTTCCAATGAGCTAGAGCAAGATAACCTGATACTTCATCATGTTCCTCAGAATCATGTGATTTAAAACTTCCATTTCATTTTAGTGGTGGTGGTGGCTTAGATGGGTTAAATTTGGTTTGGTTTGGTTAGGTTTGGTTTGGTTTGGTTTTCAGACAGGGTTTTTTTTTTGTAGTTCATGCTAGCATGGAGCTTTCTATATAGCCCACACTGGCCTCAACCTCATAATCCTCCTGCCTCAGCCCACCTAGTAATTGAGATTATAGCCCTGTGCTGCCACAACTGGCTTCAATCTTTTATTTTTTTAAAATACTTCCCATCTGAAAATCATAAATAATATTTGAGCACAGGTGACTGAAACTTGGGAAACCAAAACCACAGGTAAGAGGAGAAGGATATCTTGGAGTTTTGAATAATTTGGGGACAAAATGTCTTTGTTTAGATAAGAAAGTAGCTTAGCATACCTCTGTGTAAGTCCAGCTTCCTGGAAGCTGGTCATATTTCCACTGGATGATGTATTTTACTCCAGAGATGTTGGCCGGGTTCCACCGTAACGTCACGCTGTGACTCCCAATGGAAGACGCAAAGGGCGCTGTGGGGAGCTCCGTTCTTTCTGAAGAGGAAACCACATTTCAGTCGCTATTCACTCCCCGGATGGGTGTGGCTGCTTTGTCTAGATCTCTCCTGCTACATAACACACCTGAGCACTGAATTATATTCAGCATAGTCTATTTCTATCACAGGGGGACAGCACGGCATTCTGAGACTGAAATGCAGAGTATTGTTTTCTGCTTCTTTTGTTTACGAGACACTCAAGTGCAGAGCATGTTAGGACAGCAAGCAACATTCTTCTCCCAGTTTCCCACAGCCACTGGGAGTAAGAAGCCAGCCTCTGAGAGGAGAATGACCGCTTATAGAGGCGCCAGGAAACGCCGTCTGCCAAAACCCCCCAGTGGGAGGAGATTCTGGGGAATCTGCTGGAGACAGCCACTAACATCCAGGCTGAGCTGTCAAAGTGCTGGCCCTTCAGACATCACTGGGGAATCAGTGCATTAGGATAAAGCCACTTACTCAAACACACCCAGCCTAGTCTCCAATTCGGCCAAGGGAGCTGCCACACACAGACGTTTCCCACCCATTCCAAATCCAACCCTTGGAGGCATAGCTTCTAAACACTCACAAATCCCGACCGCCTTTTCTGAGCTGCCATGTACACAGGAAGTTCTTTACTGAACAAAGATTCGCTGAGCAATGTTCTTCACATAAAATAAATTATTCTGATACCCTCAGCTCATCAAAACAGCAGCCCTCCTCAACATGGCATCTGCTCAGGATGTAGCGCCCCCCTCGTTGGGTTAACAGGGATTTGGCCAGGTGTGTAGTGAATCGGTAGGGTGCTTGCCTAGCAAGCCTGAGACGCTGGGATTTGATCCCAAGAACCACACAAAATGGAACGCCATGGCGCATCCCAGTATTCCCAGGAGAATAGAAATAGAAACAGGAGGATCAAGAGTTCGAGGTCTTCCCTGATTACATATCAAATTTAAGATTTTGAGCTGGTGAGAGCCTGTCTTAAATGTGTGTGTGTGTGTGTGTGTGTGTGTGTGTGTGTGT